CAAAGTTAATGAAAAGACACTGAAAGGGAGAATTGTAAGGCAAAAGAAATGCAATTTTAATCTGACATTGTAGAAGATTTTGAATTCTTAAAATCTCTGACCTTTGGGTGAGTGTGGTGTCATATTTCTTTCATCCCAGCACCCGAAATGCTGAAGCAGGACCTTTGTGAGTGCAACAACAGCCTGGTCTACTTAGTGAGTCCTAGGCCAGCCAGGGATACCCAGTAAGACACCTCAACCCCCAAGGACAGCCTGATCCACATAGAAAGTCCTAGACAAGCCAAGGCTACCCAGTGAGACCCTGCCCTCTGACCTCCTCCCCCCAAATAGAAAGTATCTGCGCCCTGACCTTTGACTTTGCCTGTATCTGTTACATACTGGTCTAGGCTTGCTTATTTCTCTTTGCTTCTACCTTGCAAAGTAGTCGTAGGTCATCTTAGCTTGTGCCTAGCCTGTTTGTTATGATTAAGTCATTTATTCTTCTCATTTTTATAGTTAAATTCTGACATTCACTTAATCACAATTTATAGTATAGTAATTCATAGCTGTGCTTTATTTTGAGGAAACAGGTGTCATCTTGAGGACTGTTGAGCGTGTAATATAGAAGCTACTATGTGAAGCATGCTAGCGACTCACAGTACTAGTTCTACAAAATTCACCTTTCCATGTGTCTTTTTCACAGCTCTATAATGAAGAAGTCCTTGACTTGTTTGATACCACTCGGGATATCGATGCAAAAAATAAAAAATCAAATATAAGAATTCATGAAGATTCAACTGGAGGAATTTACACTGTTGGAGTCACAACACGAACTGTGAATACAGAACCAGAGGTGATGGTGTTGTTAAAATAGAGCATAGGTGGTGGCCTTGAAAACCGTTCTTACTGATGGTACACTTCAGATCAACACATATGTAAAACAAAATTAAAAATCTTGTCTATTTTCTTTGTGTTTTTTTTTCTTCCAAAAGGACATCATTACAGAAGCATGAGAGTGCCTAGCAAGGTGGTTGTATAAGTAAAAGTACCTGGTGCTGAGCCTGCCATCCTCAGAACTCAAGTGGTGGAAGGAAAACCAACTCCCAATATTGTTTTCTGATCTTACACATGCACCATAGCACATGCGCACACACTGAAGTAATTCAATGCAAAAACAAATTTAATGTGATGCTCATGCTAATTCTTTAGCATAACATTTACCATGCCCTCAAAAGAACCCAGTGCAGTGTATGTGTAGTATTCTTCCCAAGTAAAGAAGGTTAAATAGTTCGTGCTGAACTATGAGACAACAGTCCATTTGTCTTGTTTGTGACATTTAGGATTGTATTTTGGCTTCTATAGGGAAACGTTTAAGAAAAAAAAATCTAAAAAAAAAAGTAAAAAAAAAAAAAAAACTAAACAAGATATAAAATATCCTAACTAATTCAGATTATTGTGGTATTTGTACCAAAGCATTCTACTGTAACAGTTTGGAATGGAAGCTACAAATGTCAGCACATGATAGACAATGGAACTTAGTGTTTTCTCCTCCTTAAAAGAATGCACTATTATACTGAGAAGGTCAGCTCCAATGTGCCCATAACAAATGCGATAGGATGTGAAATCTTCCTTTATAGCCTTTACTGCAGTGGGTTTCAGCAAGCGGCTCAGACCGCAGGTTGGGTGCTGTCTGTTTAACCATTGTCAAGTCAAGCCTTTCCTCCTCTTTGCAGATGATGCAGTGTTTGAAATTGGGTGCATTATCCCGCACCACTGCTAGCACCCAGATGAATGTACAGAGCTCTCGTTCACATGCCATTTTTACCATTCACGTGTGTCAAACCAGAGTGTGTCCCCAGATCGACGCCGTGAGTTCACTCTTCTTTCTTCAACCTTTAGCCTTTAGGTCTTTAAATCACACAGCTCTCAGGAGAGAGGTTTGAGCTAAACTCACTTTATTTTTTTTTTTTTCTCTCGATTTCTTTTTCTCATTTATTTAACCGAAGCTGCTTGTGTGTGGAAGACTTTGGGGAAACAGAATTCCTGAATATCTGTTTCGACCCAGTGGATATGATGTCCTCTTGACCCTTTGCTGGGAGGACTGTTCCTACATTTCCCTTTATCAAGAGAATCTGAGTTCAGGATAGCTAGATTTGGCCTTCCCACCTTTCTGATGTTGTCATTTATGTTTGTATGACTAAGTGACTGTTTCTTTAGCTGTATAAGGGAATGAGATGTGGGCAAGGTTACAGGTGTTTAATGTCACATGAATAAGGCATTTTCAATTGTCTTTCATAACCATAGGAGAATGCCACCGATAATAAGATGATTTCTGAATCATCGCAGATGAATGAGTTTGAAACCCTGACAGCAAAGTTTCATTTCGTTGATCTGGCAGGATCGGAAAGATTGAAAAGAACTGGGGCTACTGGCGAGAGGGCAAAAGAGGGCATTTCCATCAATTGTGGGCTGGTAAGGCTAAACCATGCAGAGACATTCAGTCCTTCTGCTGTCTCTTCTCTGTTTAGTTCTGTTTGTTTCTGTCTTTGTTACTGGTGCTTAGTATGGTGTCCAGGCTTAACTCACAATGAGTCTCCTGCCATACTGGAATTACAGTGTAAGTTATCAGGCCAAGCTTTCCTTCCTCTGCTGTAATTCATGAGATATCTCATGGGAGCCCTCACTGATTTGAAGAGTGAAGTAAATGGCAATCCACTGAGCCTTTAATCACATTGTATACTTTCCCACATCCATGTGGTAGTCTCTCTTACTATGTTAATTTGACTTGCTCAACTTTTATAGTATGTGTGAAAGATTATTTATAGGGAAAATGTTTTTAAACTTCTTTCCACATTTGAAAACATACATTCAAAACAAAGATTTAAAATTAAGGATTTCACTGGACAAGACATAAAGGTTGCTTTTGCTGACATGTTGAGGCAGTTATTTTATTGAATGTGGATTATTCAAAAGCTTTTTAGCAATAATTTTTTAAAGTAGCTTGTATTAAGAATTAACTTTAATACTATGCCACCTAGTGATAATTTGATAAGAAAACACCCATGTTTGCGTTAGCATAAAGCTTCGTTATGTGCAAGAAAATATTTTGGAAGAAGCTTTTGCATACCAAAACTTGTCTTCTTGTTGTCCTCATTATAAAACTGTTCCCATGTAAGTAATAGCTCTGCTAAACCCCTGTAATGGGGTTATGTAACACACACATAACTGTTAGGAGTGACACAAAAGTAACTAAGCTTACATGTATTTAAAAATATAGATGTGAATTAAATCCAATCACAGGTTTTTAATTTTGTTTTGTTTCCATTTTTATTTTCCTATTGGCCATCCTTATTATTTAAAAGTGCTATAATTAACAAATATATAATTTTCCTCTCTCTTCTTTTCTCTGTTAGTTGGCTCTTGGAAATGTAATCAGTGCATTGGGTGACAAAAGCAAGAGAGCCACCCACGTCCCTTATAGAGATTCCAAGCTGACTAGACTCCTGCAGGATTCCCTTGGGGGTAACAGGTATGCATTGAGATTATTCTCAGTTTTGACTCTTCATTAGTTTTAAGTATACCTGTAAGATGACTTATAAGAACTAATTTTATTTGAAGCAAATTAATAATGATAATTTTATTAGGTATCTAAAAATGTCTAAATCATTTTATATATAATTATTTTTAAGGAGTACTTATAATATCCTTTGGAGTAGTGCTAGTATTTCTGTCTTATCGATAATGAGTTAAAGTACAAGGACATTAAATAATTTTTTCAAACTCACATAACTTTTTAAGGAAATCTGTAATACATGCTCATTCTACAATAGTGTAGCTTCTGCTTAGCATCAGGTGCCTAAAAGAATTTTGTTGCAAAAATAAATGAAACCTTCTAAGTAAGAACAAACTAGATTAAGTATTATCGACAGTTTCTACGAAGTCTAAAACTGGAGCTTGTTTTATACGTGGAAAATATTTTCAGAAAACGTCAGTTGAATGAGATGGGGGTGTTTGCTGGCTAACTTCTGATTTCTGTGGTTTCACCCCCAAACCTGTGCACTGTGGGGCTTCACAACTAAACTGCATTTCCTTCAGAGACATAATCTCTTTCTACTCCACTGACTGTATAAATGGAAACCTTTTTTTTTTTTTCCCATTTAAATTCAATCATAGGCAGGCTCAGCAAGTTTCCTTTATTACGGTTTTAATGCTCTAAAAATTAGTGTCCCCTCCCTTAACCCCTCCTCGCCATACCTCTAGATCCCTTCAGAAAAGAGCAGGATTCCCCGGGATATCCACCAACCATGGCATAAGAAGATCTAAGACTAGGCACAAACCCTTATATCAAGGCTGGGGGAGGCAACTCAGTAGAACGAAAAAGATCCCAAGCTTAGGCAAAAGAGTCAGAGACACCCCAGCTCCCACTGTTAGGAATCCCACAAGAATACCAAGATATACAACCATAACATATATTCAGGGTACCTAGTGTAGACCCACGCTGGCTCCAGAGTTGATTCATTCTCTGTGAGGCCCCAAGAGCCCTGCTTAGTTGATGTTTGTGGGCCATGTTCTCCTGGTGTCCTCAACCCCTCTGGCTCCTACATTTCTTCCTCCTCCTCTTCTGCAGTGTTCCCCATCTCTGAGGGGAGGGACCCAATGAAGGTCTCCCATTTGGGCTTTCTCTCCACCTAATGTTTGGCTGAAGGTCTCTACATGGCAAGAATTTTAAAATAAGTATTTCAGTGTTTGCTTTCATTTTTACAACTAATTATTATTTGTAACTTTCAGCCAAACAATTATGATAGCATGTGTCAGCCCTTCAGACAGAGATTTTATGGAGACATTAAACACTCTGAAATATGCCAACCGAGCTAGAAATATCAAGAACAAGGTGATGGTCAATCAAGACAGAGCGAGTCAGCAAATCAATGCCCTCCGAAGTGAGATCACACGCCTTCAGATGGAGCTCATGGAGTACAAAACAGTAAGCTAACAGGACTGACTGTGTACATCGTGTACATTGACCATGTGTTAGGACATTCTCAGACACACTGAAGGCTGTTGTGTTGTGCATGCAATCATGTCTTTTTGGAATGGTTGAATTTGTTTGTCTTTGGAGGTAGTCTTCAGGAAGTTGGATTTTATAGAATTCTTCAAAAGGCTTCTTACCCAATCTATAATTCTACTGACTAATGCACCATGAAAGACTGTGGTTGGAGGAAATTGATTTTTTTGCCTTGGGGCCGGGAAGATAAAAAGGCTGTTGGTTATAGAACTGTGTGATTCTGGGGTGTCTTTAAAGAAAACTCTTGTGTACTTAAGGCCTCAACCAATAAGGGAATATTTCTTGCCCAGGGCAAAAGAATAATTGACGAGGAGGGCGTGGAGAGCATCAATGACATGTTTCACGAGAATGCTATGCTCCAGACCGAAAATAATAACCTGCGTGTAAGAATAAAAGCCATGCAAGAGACCGTTGATGCACTGAGGGCCAGAATCACACAGCTTGTCAGCGACCAGGCCAACCAAGTTCTTGCCAGAGCAGGTACGTGTTTAGGGTGGGGTGGGTGATGGATTAACTTCTGAAGGGCACCAGACGTTCTTTGTGTTGATTATTTACTTAAAACAGTTGACATTGAGATGTTAAATTTTCATGTACAACCTATAATTTTAAGTTAAATACCTAACTTAAAAAACAGACATCCCTACTTAAATAAAACATGCCCTTTGTAACATTTTATTTTATGGTCTGTTCATGTAATTCAGGGCAGAAAATTTGTTGTAGGAATTGTGTTTTATTTTGGTACTAACTTTCAAACCTGGGGCCTCATCCATGCCAGGCAAATATTCCCAATATTGACGTCTTCATTTTAAAATAAGATTTTCATTTCATATTTTGTCTTGCAGGTGAAGGGAATGAAGAGATTAGTAATATGATTCATAGTTATATCAAAGAAATTGAAGATCTCAGGTATAGTTTTCTAGAACATGTAAGGCATGTCAGTTTTTGAAGTGTTCATAATATTTCTGTGTGCAGAGATGAACTGTTCTGAACTGTTCATGTTGATTTTTCAGTCCTGTGGTTGTGTTAACTTTAGAGAACTAGATATTTGGCTTTCCCATAATGTCATATCCCAAGCCAATTTCCCCCTTCTCTCTTCTCATGCTACTTTTCCATATTGTCCTTTTACTGTTACTGCTAGACCTTCATTGGACATCACCAAACCCAAAGTACAGGGCAGGCATGTCTGATGATGGTAAAGCTGTCCTTATTGCCTTTCATACCTGTGGATCTTTCCCCATCACTTGGAAATACATCAAAGTCTATGAATAATCTTTAAGTTTTTGGATTTTCTATTCCTTCCTGTTCCCTTCTACCTCTTTAGCCCTTCATTGAGTCCCTGCTTTCTCTGGTACATCCATTTATACATTTTATTAGATATGCTGCAGATGATCACATTTGAGCATGGATGCCATGGATTGGAGGCAGACACCCACCATCTTTAGTAGAACATCATAACTAGACACGTGCAGTAAATAGAAATGTCGGAATTTAGTAAAATAAAAAAGTCTCTCGATTGTGTATGAATGTGAAGTCTGTGGAAGAAAAGATTTGGGGGATTAGGAGTGTAATGGGGTGTGAATCAGGACAGGAACATTAAGCACTTCTGGAAGGCTTTAGTTTCTTTGATCCTTAGTTATTTAATCATGGATAAAACCTCAGTAAGCTCCATGGGGAAATGTCTGCAGATAATAACCAAGTGGGAGGAGGTCCTGCTTCATAACTACCCTCACATTTCCCTGTATTGAATTTGTGCTATTTGTCCCCTTTCACCCCTGGGCTATTCTAGTTATTCTCAGTGACAAGTACTTTCTCCACTTCCTGCCTCCACCAAGTTTTCTTGGTCTCTTAAATGCATCAAAAATTGAAGACAAATAAGATACTCTAATGTTAACTTGGTGAGAAAGTTATTTACATGATTTAACTTGTGTGTGTGTGTGTGTGTGTGTGTGTGTGAATTTTCATGTCTCACTGTTTGACAGAGGTCTTTGGATATTATATTCTGTTCCTATACAGGATGCAGCCTGAACTTTCAGTTTCTACCCTGACAAGGAGAGCTGCTCCCTGAGCTGTCTAGATTTTATTCTCAGACCAATCTTTCTTCACTTTGTAGACCCCTTCCCTCCATTTTTTCCATGCCCTGAGAGACAGCTGCTCTCAGTTTCTGAAGGTCTGCTTCCATTTGCAGGCAGCTGCTCTTCATCTCCTTCATTTCCTTGGTTCTGGCCATGATTGCTGTTGTTCGTGTTCTGGTTCTTGGGGTCTATTTCCTATCCTCCACCCCAATATTCTAAAGCTGCCTGTAAACCTTGATCTCACCATTGGCCAAATACTATGACAGCGTCATTACTTCATAGGAGATTGCCAGTATAATTTCTACTGCTAGTGACTAAAAGCAGCACTTAGTACCTTCATGTTCTTAGTGTAGAGACTTTTCCTTGAAGCATTTACCAATGCCTCATGATGACTCAGTCAGTTGTCAAACCCCTTCCTTAATACTTTGTTTCATATTCCTAACTTTGATATCGCTTTGGTGGCTCTTTAATTAGATGCCTCCCAGCTTTTTGGAGTAGTCTACTAGAGTCCAGATTTATGATGGATCATATGAAAATAATTGACATATTGAATAGTCATAAATGAACTCTGAATTCAAATTGGGTTACCTGGATTGATGTTTGATCTCCTCTTTATTAATAAGGTGCTACCTGACACCCGTACATTCCCTGACACCTCTACATTACCTACATCTGTGCATCACCTGACACCTGTGCATCACCTGACACCTGTGTGTCACCTGACACCTGTACATCCCCTGACACCTGTGCGTCACCTGACACCTGTACATCCCCTGACACCTGTGTGTCACCTGACACCTGTACATCCCCTGACACCTGTGTGTCACCTGACACCTGTACATCCCCTGACACCTGTGCGTCACCTGACAACTGTACATCTCCTGACACCTGTACATTCCTTGACACCTCCACATTCCCTACACCTCTACATTCCCTACACCTGTACATTCCCTACACCTGTACATTCCCTGACACCTGTACATTCCCTGACACCTGTACATTCCCTACACCTCTACATTTCCTGACACCTGTACATCACCTGGCATGTCTGAGTTTTTGTTTGTTAGTCTAGAAGAAGAGATACTGGCAAGCCTCACAAAGTTAATATGTACCTGAGTAAAATAATAGGATGTGAATGGTCTTCAGTCAAAAGGTGCTATGCAGGTCCCGTGTGTCACTTAGCACATCTCTTCAAGTTCTGTTTTTACCTACTAGTCTCTCTTTGATCCATATTTCTGTCAAAATTACTCTTATGAGGATCTCTTCCAAACGCCTTAAACTAAGTGAAATTTATCTGAAAGTATCACAGCTTGGATATTTATTTTGAATCTTATTATTCAAATTATTAAAATCATAGGCATGACCTTTTAATAAACCAAAGCAATCACCATTTAGTCCTTGAATATGGTGATGTTAAAACTTTGGTAGAAGCATAAAAATATAATAAGAGAATACCAATATCATTAAATGTCTACTCTTTCCAGAGCTGAGAACTGAAACGAGCATTTTGTTTTATCTCTTCAGTTATTTTCAGTGGTATTCATATTCATATATTCAGTTATTGTTATAACAGTGTGTCTGTCATCTTATCTGTTCTTTGCAATATGACAGTGCATCATGAACATTTTTGTCAGGAGTCTACAGCATTATCTTGTGTTTATAATTAATTTATTTTACTACTGTTGGATAATGACATTTTTCCTAATTTTTATATGGACTTTTATTGTTTTAAATTATAGTTGCAATTTGGCAAGCTTTGAATTCATTTTGTAATTGGTTCTCATAGCAACCCTATAGGAAATCTCTATTTTAATCTGTTTTACACATGGAACTATAGGGGCTGTTAGAGACTGATGGCCCAGATCTAGTGAAGGTCATATGAAATCCAAGCCATGACTCTGCTCCTTCCCCAAGATGTCTTATCCTTTCTCTCATGCCACACTGCCATCCAGTCAGTAAGATTCCAGCAGCAGCAAGTGTATTTGTGTGTTGGGGGAGAGGGGTTGGAACGAGGGATAAAGACACATTTTCTCTCTAGCATATATTAAAGCAGCCCTTGTTCATGTGGCTGGAGTTTATGAAAGTTGGCCCTCCAAGTTTCAGCCCCTACTAAATGCAAGCCTTGGAAATAACAAAACAACAACATACCAGCCACTATTTGTTACATAATAGTCTGAATACATATTATTGATAGGTTGTTTATTATATTTTCATATACTTTTAGAATTCCTTTTGTTATTGTCTGGGATTTGGGCTACATTGAAAATATTGAAAAGCATGATATATTAGCCAAGGTGAATGTATTTCCAGTGTGCATGGAGGTGATGGTTACACAGCAGTGTCCTGAATCTCAGTAGTGCAGAGTATAGTCAGAGATGACCACATAATAAATTTTTAAAATTGTTTCTCCTTAACGATATTTTTATTCTTTAGGGCAAAATTATTAGAAAGTGAAGCAGTGAATGAGAACCTTCGAAAGAATCTGACCAGAGCCACAGCAAGATCATCATATTTCAGTGGGTCATCTGCTTTCTCTCCCTCCATACTGACTTCAGACAAAGAAACTATTGAAATTATAGATCTAGCCAAGAAAGATTTAGAGAAGCTAAAAAGGAAAGAGAAGAAGAAGAAGAAAAGGTAGTACTATAAAACTGAATACTCTTCCTTTTCAGGACATTTAATTTGTAGTTGCCATATGTATACAGTAAAGTACATGGATACATGAAAAATTATTTAAATTAGCTTACGATTGCAGTTATATGCTTTGTAATGGTTTCTCTCTACTTATATATAAGAAAATTAGGTTTAGCTACAAGCATGTAGTAATGAATTGTGTTTAGATTATGACAAGGCAAGTTTACTAATACAAATTACTATATTGTTGTTTAAAATTGCTGCTTTTGCATTCCATCCATCTTGCTTTTGTGTGAAGCTTCTGTGTCCCACTATAACAGTGTGTTGTTCACTTTTTTCATTTCCTAATAGAATTCCATAATTTCATAGGTGTCCTAATCCTGTTAACTAGTTAGTTTTCCTAAAGGCTGACTAATTTATCAGAATGTCATTTGGCCTCTAAGTATTTCCTTCAGGGTTTCTAATTTGATTATATGAAGGTCCTAAATGTTATTTCACATTTTCTGAATCCCCTCTCAGGGAATTATTTAGCTTTCTACCACTGTGATAGGTTTCCCATGTCATGATAATATCTCCCCCAAAAGTCAGCTGGGAAAAGACAAGGGGAAAAATGAAAATTGACCATTTGTAATGTGTGAGTGGTTAAATAATCAAATTACTTACATATTTACCTGTTCATTCTATAGTACAGTCCAATTATTTACAAAGAATATATTGAGCATGCACTGGAACTCAATTCAAACATTTGGCTAGATACTGGAGGGGAGGCCAAGCCATCTTCTTTTCTGAAGTCTTGTTATAGGGAAGGTCTGGAACGTTATTGCCTTTTTACGAGCTGTTTTGTTCAGACTACTTAGAAATGTATTTAGAAAACAAGACATTTTGTTCCCTTAACAGTCAATTGACAAAATTTACTAGAAACTAAAATCTGTTAGCTTAACCCTGCCTTGTATCTTTATGGGTGAAAAGAATAGATTAAATAATTAAAACAGGAAGTTGCACAGTATGGCTAGGAGGCCATGGTTTCTTGAGTGAGTAATGTTGTAGTTGCTTTTCATGGAAGAGGACAGCAACGGTAGGACATAGATCCCGGCTGGGTCTCTCTTCATGACATACAGCTGTACTACAATAAGGACCACAGGGTTGTGGAAACCAATGTTGACGCTGTGCTCGAATGAACATGCAATGTTTTCCATGGTTTATCATTTACTTGTGAAATTCACTTCTGTAGACAGTGTGATTTAGTTTTAAGGGCCAAGGTAGTTTCTGTTCATGAGTAAGTAAGTGTAAGTAGAAGTGTATTTTTCAAGGTCATGGGCTGAGTCTATACTTTTCTTTTAAATTTAATTTAGATAATTGTTTTAATCACTTTAATCACTTGTTGAATATGAGTAATTAGAGATACATAGGGATCCTAGTAAAATATTTTGGTTTTTTTTTTTTTTTTTTTTTTTTGTGTGTGTGGTTTTTCAAGACAGGGTTTTTCTGTGTAGCCCTGGTTGTCCTGGAACTTGTTCTGTAGACCAGGCTGGCTTCAACTCACAGAGATCCGCCTGCCTCTTGTCTCCTAAGTGCTGGGATTGAAGGTGTGTGCTACCTTTGGATATTTTTTTTATAGTGACTATAGATACTGAATAGCTCTGGTTGAGATTATTTTTGTAAAAATGCATGCTAATACGCACTCGGCTGATAAAATATTTGAATGGAAAACGCTTTGTTTATATTTGTCCTGGTTTCTTCATTCCAGAACCTTTGTTCAGTGTAAGGGAATCAAAATAGAAACAAAGCAGAGGTTATTTCAGGTTGCTTTTCTGTGACTGACTTGGGCAGTGTGATGAAGATAATAGTATATGCTAATTATAATAATGACTTACCAAGTTGCTAGACTAAACATAGGATCCAATGAAGAAAATAAGCTACTTGGCTAATACATGGAGCTGTAGGTGGAACTAAAATATTTTTGAACAAAATCAACCAGCTAGTGAAGTGAAAGGTTGCCATGATAGAACCAATTAGCGTTCCTAAAACCAACACTCACAAAGTGCTTGGAAAGCTCCTTACTGAGCACATTTCCCAAACTTGTTCCTGGGTGCCTTTGTCAAACACACACATGATTTTTGTGCCTAAAGAGTTTATTTTGTTTACTATTCACATAGAAAAGTCTAGAGAGCCAATTTGTGACCTCATATAACTGCATAATAAAATTCATAGAATTTAATGATATTTGTCTTGTTCTGTAGACAGGTGTTCTATAGTTAAAAAACTGAAAACCTGGGTTGGTGAGGTGGCTCAATGAGAAACAGACAGACAATCCCCCACCCCAACAAAACCCAAAAAACCCAAAACAACAACAACAACAACAACAAAACACTTGTTGCAATCCTGAAGACCTGAGTTTCAGTCCCTGGATCCCTCAGTGGAAGGAGGAAACTGTCTTCTGAAAGCAGCCTCTGACATCCACAGGCACACCCCACTCACACAGCTACACACACACACACACACACACACACACACACACACACACACACTAAAAAAATGGAAACCCAAACAAAAAGTATTTCACTAATCACATTTGGGTCTAAGTAACTTTTAGATCTATGTAATATAAATTCTTTTTTTAAAAATATAAATAAGCTCCCATCTTAGACAAACGCCTGAAACAAAGCAAACACAAAACAAAGGGTTTCAGCAACAATAATAATAGCAACAACCATAATAATTAATAGACAGAATTTGGAACATTAACCAGGAAGTCATATACTTTAAGCATTGTAGTTTATTATCACCAGTGCAAGCCTAAATTACACTGATTTGGGGGCACTACTTTGTATATACAGATATAGAAAATTTACCACTCACACATTTAGTCTGGTGCCTTTGGATATCTGGCTTTAAATGAACTATAGCACAGAACTCTTTGTCGTCTTTCAGACTGCACTGCACTTGGATGTAATGGTGTTGGTGTGAAACTCTGAAAATGAAGATCTTTGTGTAGACCTGCCCTTTTTCTAGTCATTGTGCTCAACTCTCTGATCCCTGGTGAATATCTCCCTGCAGAATTTTTTTTCTAAGATTAGTGGTATCATATTATAAAAGAAGTATATAAATTGGTTAGAAGACACAATCACAGCCTAAGAAGATAAAAATGACATGAAACCACACATCATAAGATTAAAAGAGAACTGACTTAATAATTCATGACTCAGCTCTCTTTGTTATTGTAAATATTGATGATTCCAAGAGTACTTTGTGTGGTTCTAGAAAGAGTGTGCTGTGTGCAGATTGCTATATGTCTAATTGGAGCCTAGGACATTTATATTGTCTACATGACAAGTGTTCATGCATAGTTCATTTCATTGAGTCAAAATTCCTAACTTTGTATGTCAAACATTCTTTAATTTATATTTTGAAACCTATATCAGTGAATTCATAGTTTTTTGATATTCTGATTAAAGAACAGTATTACTAATGGAAAGTACTAAAATTCCCATTTTATTTCCTCCTTTCCCTTAGTTATGTGCCCTTTTAGTAGTAAATTTTTAATCCCAACCTTGTTAAAATTTTATCTTCAATTAACAAGATTATATTTTTCACTGATCGTATAATGACCATATTCATTTGTCTGTAATACCATCTCATATAATTTTGATATGAATTTTTTTAATTTAGATTTAGTGATGATTATATGTATAGTAAAGCAAATGAAGTCAAGTTTTTAAAGTAGTAACTTGTATGTTGCATTATTAGTATTATCATTATGGTATAAAGGCATTACTTAATGAAGGTCTTTGATGATACCATAAAAAAATCTTTTGAAAGATTTAAAAGGAAGAGGATGTTGTTGAAAGTAGGCTTTAGTTATAGAAAAAATTTAAAAATTGATCTATTTCTGACTAAAAATAGCAATGACATCCAAACAGGACTTATGAACTCATATAAATTGAGATTATATTTTACTCTTAAACAGTTTCCACTGATTATATGCATTTTCTTCTTAGATATAATACTATTGATTTTCTTCTTTGTATTCATAGAAAATGTATTGCCTTTTTACTGTGTATTGTTCTTTAATGATATCTTTATAATTTATTTTAACGTCTTCAAGCTCATGTACCATTTTACCTTCTTACCACTTTTGCTTTTACTGTCTGGTTTGCCCTCATTGGCTTGGCCTTCCCATACTGTGCCTCGTGATTTGAAGGCTACAGAAACTTGAGGAAAGCAATCGAGAAGAAAGAAGGTTGGAATATTTCCCAGGTTTTTTTTTTTTTTTAAATTAAAATGTCATTTAAATACTTCATTTCCATTTGCAAGAAAATGTGCTATAAGAATTGTAGACTGCTTCAGACTAGATTAGCTGTGTACTCCTTAAAGTAATGATTTTTATAAAAATAGTAAGAAAAAGTTAAAGTTTTGAGAATAACAAATTCTGTAGTTACTTGAATTAAAATGCAAGCAATTTCGTTAAATTTCAAATTAAGTTGCCAGAAGTATGATGATTACTTAACCCTTTTTAGTAAAATTAAACCTTCATGTGTGATTTAAAAACAAGCATCAGCGTTTCTTCATCTAGGGGGAGGTTGTGAGCAGAGTGGAAAGCAACTGGGCAGTGATTGATTGACATTTTGTTGGAGCAAATGCTAACTCATGGTTAGACTCTTCCTTATTTGCCGTAATCTTTGTAGGAAACACTAAGATGGTAGAAGGGCAAAAGGAACTGTGGCTACCCTGTAGGTCAGATTGACAAGGCATCCTGAAATTTAAACTAGAAAAATATTTTTAACTTTCAAAGGTATTCCTAGTGAGTATTAAAATGTGGACTATTGACTGAGAAATAAAAGGATTTTGGGATAAAGATAACCTTTATTAGCAAAACACCAGCCAAACGCAAGCCAGAGCATGCCAGGGGCAGCAAGGCAGGGAGGCCAGAGAGAGGGGCTCCCATGTGCCTTGCAGCTCCTTAAAACCCTATTACAAGTCATCCTAACCTCAACTTGACCACACCCTCACAGGCATGATCAGGCACACCTGTAGCCAGCTTCTAGCAGGCGTGGCTTACACTGTCTGCTACAATGGACAGTTCCCATTCTTCTATTTACAGTCTAGAAGTGAGTCGTTGATCTCTATTTCATGAGCCTTACATGAATATGACTACTTATTTAATAAGTAAATGTTAAATTTTCTAAAGCAAGTCACTAAATCATATAGCCAAATTGATTGTTTTCAAAAGAAATGCAGTTATCCTCGGAGGTCTGCATTAGAGACCATAGATTTTCTCTTACTTAAAGTTAAACTTGAGAACTTGTATACAGTATGTAAATGACTAGTTTACCTTAAATCTATTAAATCATAACTTAGCTTATAATGTATTCACCTTAATTGTATTCCATATGCTATATTGAGTATAAAGTTTCTGAGCTTATATTTTATAAGTTTATAACTTAAAAAGTATTCTGTAACTAGAATGTAATTCTAACTGTCTATAGCTTACACTAGAACTCAATTAAACATCATTAATTTAGGACAGCAAAAAATTATAAACTCAAAATTTCTCTTATTTGGAAAGCTCACAGTACAATGAATCTTTAAAGTTATATGTGGAAACATGTTGCCACATTAAATATATATATATAAAATATATATATATTTAGTAAATAGAGGCTGCTTCTGACTGTCACGTGACCATATAGGTAAGCAGATGCAGGACAGCTTAGTGTTCTAGGACTGTATCTTTGGTCATAAATATACATGCATAACTGTTTCAGTGGAATGAAGATCTGATCAGTAGCACATAGGTGGAACCTGCCATTCTGAATTAACAAGCCCCTGGGGATGTGGGCGCTACACTCTGGGAGGCAGGACATCTGCTCTTAGTCCCTTGTGTGGAAATCTTTCCAAGGCCACTGCTTTTTATTTATTTATTTTATTTGCCAGATGGAGATACTGATTTCTTATGTTTGTCCCAGTTCCTAAGATTCTGATTTTGTGTAAAGTATGCATTTAATTATGACCCATGGTTCCTTAGATAGCTTCTTGCGGGTATCAATTTGTTAACATTTAGCGAAGAAAACTTGAGTGCTTGAGATAAATAGTTATCAGCATCTCCTCTAAAGCCTAAGCTTTACAAACAGTTCTTAGAAGCATATTAATATATATCTGTGATGCTGATTTTTCTGTATCAGAGAGCAAGGCAAACTTATGATTGGAGTTATAAGTCAACGACAACATTTGTTAGGCTGGATATTGGCTATTTGAGGGAGCAGGAGGGTTTGGTAGACAAGTATTCCTAATAAAGTTATGTGACCATAAACCTGAGATAAAGGATTCAGATGATAGTGTAATTTAAGAACCCACAATAGTGGAGATTATATGCTACACGAGTAGTAAGTATGACACCATCAGGGAGGAGGAGGAAACCCAATGACAAATGTAATCTTTTTTGTCCCACACATCTTTTTTGTCCCATCCTCTTAGGTGGGACCCAGAGCCTTGGGTCTCAGCCTCTGGTATAGTAGTAATTGAGTATGTGTCACTGACCTTTTAATATAATTGGATTTGTCATAGTTGTTCACTTCATATGGTTTCTAACTTTCTCCCAGTTTATTTTCCTCCAATACAATGATTTAATGACATCCATGAATGTCTGTCTCAGTTTATTTGATTCCAGTTATGACTGTTGTATTGCTATTCTTATTGGCGTTTACTTCTTGCTCCAAAGGCATTGCTATGTTCCATGCATCTTTATAATATTTCAAACCTTATTTTCCATTCTAACTTAACTGGTATGTGAGACACATACATAGGACTACTCAAACACAGGTGTTCATGTAACTCATAGGGATTGATTTATTTAAAAAATGTTAGTGTGATTTATTCTGTGCAGGCCATGGGTAAATGAATGAGAAGACATAAACATATGATTCTTACTCTCAAGAAACTTTTAGTTTGGTGGGAATGACAGATCAAATGAATAATCACATGAATAAACAAATTAAAAACTGAAAAGTGCTTAGGAGGAAAATATTTAAATTATTGTTCTGACTATAAAAATATGCAAGAATAGGGACCTGGAGTTAAATGTTAGAATTAAGTAACAATAACAGGGCCCAAATGAGGTCAAATTACTTACTCATAACCTAGAAATAAGCCCAAGTATCCATCAGGAAATTCTTTAACATAGTGGAATAGCTAATGGAAATAGTGGTTGTCATAAAGTCTTTTCTAGAGGAAGTTCCTTTGGAAATATTGCTGTATTTGACTATTCTTTTTTATCTTAATAATTTTTAAGTTTCACTAATAACACAAACTATATGGATTACTTAAGATTTGCTATGTTAACATTATTTTACTAAAATATATGAGTCTAGTGAGCCGAAGTGTAACTGCTGTGTATAGTTTGTGATACTTGGTAAACCCAAGAAAGATCAGAGTGATTGGGGTATTCAAAAAATTCACTTACTGTAGTCTACCTTCCCTTAGGTCCACCAGGACTAAATGAGTTGAGCCATAACCATTGTGTGATTATGTCTGTAGGTATCAGGTAACTGAAGAGGAAGGTTTCAGTTTTATGGTGAAACTTGAAGTAGACCCTGGAATTTCTGAGTCAGTCAGGGCAGTTCAAAATTGTCTAAACTTCAGACAATTTTGGAATTCAAAGACCCGCTCTGTGCTAATATAATGAGAAATCACCCTATGCTATGCAGATGGCCTAAGAAAAGTCCTCAGCATAGATAACTACAGCTACAGAGACAGACTCACTGTGGCAGTGTGATTTTGAACCTTTAAAAGTAATCTAAATTTATTAGGATACTACAAGCATAATTTTATAGCATGCTATTTATGTGAGAGAAGTTTTGTGAATTTAGATGGGGAGCCAAAACTTTCTGTTTTGGTTTCTTTGAAATTTACATTGTGTTGCATTGTAATCCACTGGTTGTTACTGTCTAATCAGATCTTACACTTAGTGTTTGCCCTGTTGTCAGTATTTCTAGAGTGCTGTAAATGTTTACAATGTTGGTTATGTGCTGAGACCTGATTTTTCTCTAATCATCAGACAGAGCAGCTTTGCTTAGTTAAGTGATTAACCCTTTCATTTTGTTTTTACAAATTGTTGATTTTTTTTTTTTAATCTGAGAAAAAAAAAGTGAAGATTTTCCCTTGTTTTTATCTCATTCCTTTTCTCTTTCTTTTTGATTTTAAAGCGTGGCTGGGAAGGAGGAGAATGCAGACACTGACCAGGAGAAGAAAGAAGAAAAGGGCATCTCAGAGAAAGAAAACAATGGATTAGAAGTGGTAAGTATGGGAGAATAAACTTACAAACTGTAGTCACTAATGTATATGAACTGAATGGAAGTGGTTGTTTCCTGTTTCCTGTTTCCTTGAGGACTTTTTCCCAGAATGGTCAGCTGTTAAGTACTGGCAGATCTTAGTCAGGTGCACTATGAAAATTGTGTGTGCATGCAGATGAAATGCTGTGAGAGACCAAGAATTCCCAAGAGAAAGCTGTTGCATAATAACCTTAAACTCTTATAGCGATTTTGAATTCAAGAAAAGCAAAATTTGGTGTTCAGGGAGGTGGTTTAGTGGGAAAGTTCCATGTACATGTGTGAGGATTTTCTCAGATCTCTGGCATCCATGTAAAAGCTAAGCATGGTCTGTAACCCGAGTTGGCAAGTCAGGACAGACAGATTCTGGCCCTTCACTGGTCACCCAGCCTAACCAAAACAATGAGTTCAGTTTTAATGACAGGCCTGTTGGAGGGCATATTGTGGAAAGTGATAGCAGAACACACTGGACATCCTGCTCTGGCATCTGCATGTATGGAGCGCTGATGTACACATCACACAAGAGCACACACAAAGATGATGACAGTCTTCTGCTTTTGTGTCTATACTACTGCACTTCTCTGGCTGAGGTGATCGGTTTGCTTGTGGGTGCTGTGTTATTAATAGTCCCAAATCCCATTGCAGGAAGACAATCAGGAAGGGAGTGATCATGAGGAGGAGGAAGAAGAGGAGGAAGAGGAAGATGAAGAAGACGATGACATGGAAGGAGGGGAAAGCTCTGATGAATCTGACTCAGAGTCAGATGAAAAAGGTACCTAAACCTTAGCACGAAGGCAGAAAACTCATATTGGGAAGCTGTTCAGGCTTTGGTGGGAAACTCAACATTTTCTATTATATTGCAAATTAAAGCAATTTTCATGACCTGTAAGACCACCATAGACTCATGCATGCTCTAGGCCAAAAGATGTTCCTTTCTGTGCTGGATCTAGTCACTGTGTCATTTCCAAATTTCTTTTTTCTTACTTTCTTTCTTTTTTTTTTTGGGGGGGGAGGGGGTTTCAAGGCAGGGTTTTTCCTGTGTAGCAGTCCTGGCTGAACTGGAACTAGCTCTGTAGACCAGACTGGCCTCGAACTCACTGAGATCCTCCTGTCTCTGTTTCCCAAGTGCTGGCATTAAAGGTGTGCACCACAACCTCCCAGCTGATTTCCATATTTCTTTAGTGTACATAGCACCTGTCATTGGCCACTGTAAACAGTCTCTTTTTAGAGTATGGTATAGCCAGTAAATTTCCCCCATGGCTGCTGAGTGACTGACTACATGAGTGCAGATAATAGCTTTGCAGTCTTGCTTGGTATAATGATGATCTTTGCCTACCTTCAGTATTTTTATCTTCTGTGACTAGCTAACTATCAAGCCGACTTAGCAAATATCACGTGTGAAATTGCCATTAAGCAGAAACTGATTGATGAATTAGAAAACAGCCAGAAGCGGCTGCAGACACTGAAAAAGCAGTATGAGGAGAAGCTGATGATGCTGCAACATAAGATCCGGGACACCCAGCTGGAAAGAGACCAGGTGCTGCAGAATTTAGGTGGGTCTCCTTTGGGGACTCAATCCATATTCAAGGCTCGTAAATCAAAAGGCTTAGCAACCACTGACTGACTTGCATAGATAATAAAGTGAATGAGCTAAAATCTCCAGGAGAGAAGAGCTCAGGTGTTATCATGTCTTGGGAATTTGTTCCAAGTCTGTGAAATAAAAATCTGTCTGACAAAAAATGTGCTTTTGCTCCATTGCACCCAGGCTCGGTGGAGTCATACTCAGAAGAAAAGGCAAAGAAAGTGAAGTGTGAATATGAAAAGAAGCTCCATGCCATGAACAAAGAGTTGCAGCGGCTACAGACAGCCCAGAAGGAGCATGCCAGGTTGCTGAAAAACCAGTCTCAGTATGAAAAGCAGCTAAAGAAACTGCAGCAGGATGTCATGGAAATGAAGAAAACAAAGGTACTGATAGTGTCCCCGTTCAGCTTGGGCAGCAACGGCTTTCACAACTTGGGACAAAACTATTATTTCGGTTCTTAATCTGAGTCAATGACAAAGCAGCCCATAATATTTACTACCAGTTTAAGATAGAAACAGGTTCCCAGCTTCCTGTGCATGTCTCTCTGACAGTACTCTCATTGTCAAGAGGAGACATCTAGGGTTTGATATGTATTGTTCCCTTGCGTGGAGTGGTATGAAGGCAAGAGGTATCTGGACTTTTGAACTAAAACACAGTTAGTGCATACTTATGTATGATTCCATAAACCTAATTTCCTGTATTTCGTTGTATCCGGACTTTGGAATACAACAGAGTTTTGGGTTGTTAGGAACGATTCCTTAAACCTAGTTTTGTGTAACTTGTGTCAGTTTTGAGTAAGGATTTTCCTAAATCTTGCACCCAAATCAAGGCAATTTTCTTAAAGTAACCATATAGACATGACATAAGAAGTAAGGAGATTACATTGGGCAGTTGCTGTAATAACAAAAGCCACCTTTATTAAGTTCTTCCCCTGTACCAGGCTCTGTTATATGTACCTACCAGTATCAATTCATTGAGTTTGCACAGAACACAAGCCCATTGCAGACGAGGAAGCCAAAGCCTACAGAGGTTATGTAACTTGTCCAGGCTCACTCAGCTACTGATAATAAGTATCAGAATGACATACATAGAGTTAATTTGACAGAAAAAAAATGTTGGAAATATAACCATCTGAAAACACCACTTGGCTAAAATACACTGTGGATGTCACGTGTGAAATATTTAGAATGAAAGAACTCTGTCTGCTTCATTTGCCAAATGTATCTGGTACAGGAATAGGTTCAATAATGTATACACCTAACTTTAGGTTCGCCTAATGAAACAAATGAAAGAAGAACAAGAGAAAGCCAGACTGACAGAATCTCGGCGAAACAGAGAAATTGCTCAGCTGAAAAAGGATCAACGCAAAAGAGATGTGAGTAGAGTCTCTGTGTTCTAGAGCAATGCTCTGCATTGTACAAGATTGTTTTACCAATGGAGGACAAATTTTAACTCTGGTAAGTATAGGTGGAGGACAATAAATAAACATTACTTATATAAAACACATTTGTTATTATATGTAGGTTATAGTAATACAGTATAAAGATTTAGGGCAGATTCACTCTGCAAGGGTACCAGGATGTATCACCTTGATAAAAGATGCTTTTCTGAGACCTTAAATCTCTTTTGTCTTCACCTTCAGAATTCAACTTCCTTGAGTTCAGATTTCGAAAATGTAGTCTAAATCATAAAAAACTTTTTTGTTAAAATCGTTACTTTTTATTACAATAAGTTAGAGACAAAGAGAGAACTTGATCGATCTCAGGTGACATGGTGCTCAAATGGAGATCAGAGGACAACCTTCAGGAGTTAGTTCTCCTCCTCCAGCATGTATGTACTGGGGATAGAACTCAGGTTATCAAGCTCGGCAACAAGCACCATTTACCCCGTGAACTATCTTGCTGGCCCCACATCTTCACTTTAATTTTATTTATGAATCTAAAAAACTATTGCTTGACATTAGAAGGTGGGACCTGAAGGAGAGACCATGAAGAAAGCTGCTTACTGGCTTGTTTCCCATGGCTTTCTCACCTTACTTTCTTACACAATTCAGGACCTCCTGTCCGGGGATCACATTGCCCACAGTAGACTGGAGCCTCCCGCATCAATCATTAATCAAGAAGACACCCCACAAACATTTCCACAAAACAGTCTGATGAACAAGACTTCTCAGTTAAAGTTTCCTCTTCCCTGGTGGCTCAAGTTTGTGTCAAGTTAATAAAAACTAGCCAGCACACCCAAGTTACCCAAGTATATGTTATCCTGTGTATAGCATGAATTCTCTTTCGTCTTAATAATAAAAACCTAGAGACAGATACCAGGGTTAAAGCTGAAGATCAGAGAAGCAAAACAGCCAGCCACCAGAGTGTTCTTATCTCTGCAAATGCTCAGACAGAAGGGGTGATCCACCAAACCTCAGACTTCGTCTCCAGACTGCATCTGTCTCCTCCCACCATATATTCCTCTCTAACTGGTATTAAAGGCATGGGATCCCAAGTGCTGAGATCACCTTTGTGTGAGCTCTGTTTCTCTTTTAGAGCTCAATTTTGGGTAGCTCAGGGTGGCCTTGAACTAACAGAGATCCATCTGCCTCTGTCTCCCTAGTGCTGGGAGTAAAGGTGTGAGCCACCGCTGCCTGGTTTCTATGGCTAACTAGTGTGGCTAGCTTTGCACTATGATCTTCAGGTAAACTTTATTTGTTAGAGGATAAACAAAATATCACGATACCTGTGTTTAAAACAATTTTAATTATGGTATGTATTAAAAGTGACTCTTGAAAATAGTCAGGTCTTTTCCTATTTGTGCCTCCCTGAGTCCTTAAAATGTCTGTGAGAACAATGGAATGAGAAACATTTGTAAAGCCCTTAGAAAAGTACTCTTAATTAGTAAGCACCCGCCATGATAGTTAAGAGTGAGTTTACAGATGACTTAGTTTTAGTTAGAGATGGCTATTTCAAGAAGCTTAGCAGTTTTGTTTTGGTTGGTTGGTTGTTTTTTTTTCATTTGATTGGTTGATATTGTACGGGCGTGCACATGCCATGGTGCTAGTTTAGGGGTCAGAGGACAGCTTTCAAGAGGCGGTTCTCTCCTCCCACCGTGTAGTTTCAGGGGCTTGAACTCAGGTTGTTGCTTTTACTTGCTGAGCCATCTCACCAGCCCAGAGATGGCTGTTTACATATTGTATGCTATACTAAAGTAGCAATATCCGTGTGACTGCTATGAGATTATTAACCCAGATTGTGCAGAGGACTCATTTTTTGGCTGTAAGAGGAAGTGTGTTAGCTGAAGAGTACGCTATGCTGTGCTTCAGTTGTCCATTTTAACATACTGAATCTTGTTTTATAGCATCAGCTTAGACTTCTAGAAGCCCAGAAGAGAAATCAAGAAGTAGTTCTACGACGAAAGACTGAGGAGGTACAGTAAGCAACTTTACCATTTGGAGGGGACATTTTGACTTTGGGATAAGTAATGTATTCCTCTTTTTCCTACCTTGTGGTACTGGAGATTAAAACTAGAGCTTGGCATGTGATAGACAAATCCTTTACTGTTCTAACTAACCCCTATAACACACGCATCGACAGACAGAGCTTAGACCGCTGTTCCTATTTCAGGTTACAGCTCTCCGTCGCCAAGTACGGCCCATGTCTGATAAAGTAGCTGGGAAAGTCACTCGGAAGCTGAGTTCATCTGACAGCCCTGTTCAGGACACGGGTTCCAGTGCTGCAGGGGAAGCAGAGGCATCAAGGGCAGGCACGCAGCAGAAAATGAGAATCCCTGTGGCAAGGGTTCAGGCTTTACCAACACCTACAACAAACGGAACCAGGTCCTGCTGATTCTTAATTGCCCTTATATGATCCTTGTGTGTGTTCATACTGAATGCTGTGTAAATGCAATATGTCTCCTTATTGGTTGTGCACAATCAAATAAGGCATAAGTAATTATGTTTGTCTTTGTAAATGATTACAGGAATAAATATCAGAGGAAAGGACTGACTGGCCGGGTGTTCACTTCCAAGACAGCCCGCATGAAATGGCAGCTGCTCGAACGCCGGGTGACCGACATCATCATGCAGAAAATGACCATTTCCAACATGGAGGCTGACATGAACAGACTCCTCAGGGTACAGAAATTAGAAACTAGTCCTGCTCTCCTTAGCTGACTATTAGTTTTACTATTCCATATTTGTTCCTTTGTAGTGATACATTGTTTGTGATCTAATAAAGCAACTAAATGATCAGAAAAGCAAAACAGCCAAACCAGTAGCTCTTATCTCTACCTCAGATGGAAATGGGTGATCCTGTCTCCATGAAGCCTCAGAGTACAGCAGATTACACTGCTCTCCACCAAGCCTCAGGGTGCAATCCTCTGAGTTCCTGTAACCTCCTCCCTTGTATTCCTCTCTCTGCCCAGCCATATCATTCCTGTCTCCGCCTCCCTAGTGCTGGGATTAAAGGCATGTGATCCCAAGAGCTGAGATCTCCTTTGTGTAAGCTGTTTCTCTTTCAGACTGGATAAGTTTTGTGTAGTTCAGGGTGGCCTTGAACTAACACAGATCCATCTGCCTCTGTCTCCTGAGTCCTGGGATTAAAAGTATGTACCACTACCTCCTGGATTCTATGACTAGCTTGTATGATTGCTGAAATTAAATTGTCTGGCTCTATGGCTGTGGCTAGGTTTGCATTTTGGTCTTCAGTTGCTTGATTAGATCATAAACAATATATCACCACATTCCTTGGAAGCATTGTATGCTTCTGTAGTGTCCTTTGGTTTTGATTGCAATATGTGTGATTTCCTTAAAATCCATATGGGTTCTTTGATTTTTTTTTCATAGCAACGAGAAGAACTCACAAAAAGGCGAGAGAAACTTTCAAAAAGGAGAGAGAAGATAGTCAAAGAGAGCGGAGAGGGAGACAAAAATGTGGTTAACATCATCGAAGAGATGGAGTCCCTAACTGCGAATATAGATTACATCAATGATAGCATTGCTGACTGTCAAGCTAACATCATGCAGATGGAGGAAGCAAAGGTGTGTACTGGAAAGGACAGTTTTTTTGTTTTTGTTTTTTTCATTTGTTGGTGAGAGAAAGTCTCTCACCCTGGCTGTCCTCAGACTGTGTGGGTAGATGAAGATGACCTTCAATTTCTGATTCTCCTGTCTTTACCTCCCAGATGCTAGGAACTCGGGGTCTTAAAGATATTTAATAGCTTAAAGAAAAGAACTTTTGTATTGTATCTCTTTAAGAACACTTTGGATTTTTATATGAAGTCATTTTCTATTTATTGCTTTAGTCTGATTCTTAGGTTTTATGCATAGAAGAGATAGTCTACTCTCCTGTTTTCTCTCCTGACCTTGTGATATTCTTTATTATATCACATGTATCATTTATTATGTCTTGCATTGAATTTTTAGCTGCTCTTATGACTGGAACACATGTTTCTTAGTGTGAGAATCATGTAATATTTTCTGTCAAGTCAGTGCAGTAGCCAGTTGCCTTTTGTATAAATGTATCCAGATTAAAGTAATGATTGTCCCACCCTGGTTTGATGTAGGAGGAAGGTGAGACATTGGATGTCACCGCTGTCATTAATGCCTGTACACTTACTGAAGCTCGGTACCTGCTAGATCACTTCTTGTCAATGGGCATCAATAAGGTGAGATTTAACAATTCTATTCTGGAAAGCCTAAGTTTTGACCAATTTGGTTTTGACTCTTTCTCCAGTCAGCCTCCTCTTGGTAAAAGGAAATAAAATTCTTCACTGAAAAATCAAATATTTTTTCTTTAGAGCTATGATAAAATGTTATAAATATTTGTATCAATTTTACTGGCTCTGTTACACTTGTATATTAGAACGAATAAACAAAGAAGAAATAAAGCCCATCTTTAACAAAAGATTTTCAGGGGAGACAGATTTTTTGTATCACAACTGGCTTGCTGATAACTTGATACAACTCAATAGAAAATCAGACAGGAATAAATACACGTGCAGCACCTTACACTTTTGAATGTAAACCAAATTTGTCACCAGTAGCATCCTTATTCCCAGGTTCTGAAGGTGGCGACAGCTGAGTCATTTGTTCCCCACACTGGACCTGTGTTAGATCCTACTCTGTGCTCTAACACTTCATCTTTACCATGTGGCGGTCAAGTAGGTCTTGATCCATAGCCCTTCACACACAGGGACTGAGACTCACAAGGATGCCATCTTGGACAGGGAAACTGCTCTAAGACCTCTGAACAAAGTAGAGGAGCTGGTTTGCATTAAGGTCTGTCTGTGTCAAAGTCAATGTCCTAAGCATTTGAATGTATGGGCTTTGTTTTCTATGACCTGAGACGGTTTGCTTTTCTGTTTATTGTTTCAGGGTCTTCAGGCTGCCCAGAAAGAGGCTCAAATTAAAGTACTGGAAGGTCGACTCAAACAGACCGAAATCACCAGTGCTACACAAAACCAGCTCTTATTCCACATGTTAAAGGAGAAAGCTGAGTTAAACCCTGAGCTGGATGCTTTGCTAGGTCATGCTTTGCAAGGTAATTGGGATTAAATTTTACAAAGATGACTTGCATGGTGGCTCTGCTCTTTGTTGTATTTATATCTCCTTCCTCTATGGCTTGTTTGAATAGATGCTATACATAGTTAGGCTTTTAATAAATATTCTTACTTTAATTTGCATGTGTATGTAAACTGGGGGGGAAAGTACTGGCATTCCAAAAAACAATTACCCAACTAAGGTTATTTAACCTTATTAAACAATTGTTTTTTATGGATAACGGAGACTAGGAAAGTTTCTGAATTGGTTATTTAAATTACTTAAAAGATTAACCAAGTTTCATTACCTTTACGCTGCATACCTAACTATGCTAAAATACATCTGTAAGTTTCTGTTATGGCATCTATTCTGAATACCTAAACATCGGGACATAATCGTGTGATATGTGAGAGTTTTAACTTTGGATTTGTTTTGATTGGAGTATTGCTTTTTGTTTCCTTCTGCTGTTATTTATCCAGATCTAGATAGCGCCCCAGTAGGTGAGTATGTTTAGCTTTCTGTGTCTCAAACAGCTGCATGGTCACTAATTGTCCTGTGCACTAATTGTGGCACACATTTGAAAACATTTTATTGGTAGACACTGTTTTTGCATGGCCTTTTTGGAAACATATCCATGATAAAAAATACTAAATCTTTTGTATTAAACATTCTTCATTTTGGAATTCCTAGATATTTGAAGAGGTGTGCTTGAGCTAATAGTTACTTGAGCTCAGTGGTGGAATTCTATAAGTTCTCTGAATTCTTTCTCTTTCTTATAGGAAAACATGGAATATATGTTCCTTTAAAATTTTTAAATATATCTATTAACTTCCATCCATTGTTTTAACCTCATAAATAACTTTCTTTTATATATAGTCTCATCTATTCCATCTAAAAATAAAATTAGGAACATGTTTTTTATAAGTTGAATAAAATACAAGGACTTTATCTGAACGCACTTATAGTTATAATCATAAGCATCATATTTTCTGTGTAGAAGAGGCTATAGAGATCATTGCACATAAAAGATGTTTTATTTTTAAAGATTTATTTACTTAGTTTATATACAGTGTTCTACCTGCATGTATATCTGCAGGCCAGAAGAGGGCACAAGATCTCATTACAGATGGTTGTGAGAGACCATGTGGTTGGTAATTGAACTCAGGACCTCTGGAAGAACAGCCAGTGCTCTTAACCTCTGAGCCATCTCTCTAGGCTGAACATAGAAGTTTTAACCATTTTCTTGCTCCTAACTTCCATGCTAACTATTCATTGGTTATATCTTTATGTTCCTGTCCTCTTAGTGATGACATGTGTAGACTCAGGAGACTGGAGGGATTTTATTACTCATGATTGGTTAGAATGCTAAATTTGGAACATTTTTTTATTTAATTAAAGTTATTTACAAATGTGATCACAACTTTCTTTTTTTCAATTATACAAGTCATCCAAGTTGCCTAAGTGCTCACTGGTAAAGAAGAGGAAAATAACTCAAAGATTAAATGTAGTTACTTCTCTGTGTCACTAGACTAAACACAATCTATGACTCTTCACTGTTTAAAATGATAAGCTCTTATACAAATAAAATACAGGACCTATTTGATTTTTATACCACATATTACTGTGGAATCGTATTTCCTTGAGATCGATTATACTGTATAGAATATCACTTATGAACAGGAAAACTTACTTGTCGAGCTATGACAAAGGTAAATAGAAGAGTAATTAGCACTGTGCTCCACTACTCAACACCATTTCTGCCATTCCACACATTGTCAAGTCAACTTGTCTCCTTCATTCCTTCCCCATCTTTGCTTTTTCCTTTTCTGTTCTCTTTCTCCAAATCCTTCTCTTCTCTTTCTTTCTTGTCTTGCCTTTTTTTCTGTTCCTGCCTTTTCTTCTAGCCCTCCCCTCTGCCCTCTTCGACTTCCTTTTCATTTTTCTCTTTCGCCTTCATTGTGCATGGTCATCTCTTCTTTCTTCTTGCTGTTCTTTGTAGTTTTTCAGCTTCACATATGTCCCATAGCTTAGAAGAGAAATTATTTAAGGGAATTTTGTGTAGAAAAATATCAGACTGCATATTTGATAAATGGTTTAGTTTTTACAGTTTTCTGCTTATAGAAGCAGAGAGTGCAACTGTTGTCGGTTGATAGAACCTGTCACTCATGGCAGAAAATTTCCCTAGAGATTAGGACCATAATTTAACTCAGAAGAACTGGAGGTCTAGCATGGAAGGACAAAAGTAATGGATATTCAACTAGAAAGTTAGACAGTTATAGATAATGTACCTATATGAACTTCCCTCAACTTCCTAGTTTCATCTTAACCATTGAGGCTGAGAACCGGATTGATAGGTGATTGCAACACTAACCATTGTCTCATGAGCCATATGCTTTGCTGAAGGTGACATACCATGACACGTTTATGATAGTTCAGTGAGGGCACAGCCTGAAGTGAATACCCAGGGCATTAGAGTATAGAGTAGAACTACCCAAAAGAACGCTAGGTATCAGCCAGGTTGTGATGGCACACACCTTTAATCTCAGCACTGGGGAGGAAGAGACAGGCAGATCTCTGTGAGTTTGAGAAGTTTTAGAGAAACTCTGTGTCAGAAAACAAACAAACCAAAAGAATGCTAGGTATTGATGAAGACCATCTGAGGTTATGGAGTTTGAGCTGATACATAAAACAAAAAGATGATGAGGGGTTACACAAGCTAAGGGGAGGCAGGGACAGCTGTATTATATACCAGCAGATCAGTGCTCTGGAGGAACAAGTACATGATTTATAATGAGAAACTTAACGTTAGAGGCTAAGCTGGGACCACCACTCCTTACCACACTTACAGTCTTTGAGAAATATTTTCCTTCTTCCCATGTTATTCCTACCTTTATTGGGGGCATATATTCTACTGGACCCCTATCCCACTACAGATTTTCTAGGAGCCTCATGGAACTCAGCATATAGTTGTAATTATGGTTAGGACTTATTGAGAAAAGAATGATAAGAATATACAGCTGTTGTATAAGGGAAAAGACAAGGGTGAGCCTTTGGGAACCGATGCTCAAGCTTCCTTTGTTTGCTCCCACAAGTACAGACATACCAAGTGCTGGCCCTAGGAACAAAATGCAGCAGTTTGAGCCAGAGAAGCCTGTTAGGCAGTCATCACTACCCAAGGGTCATAAGTATATGTTCCTAACATGCACCACATTCTAGACCCCCATAAAGAAAACACATAGTATCAGTCATATGTTTGCACAGTCTAGACCTCATGAACACCCTTTATTAGTTTGTTGTTGACCATGGATACTTTGAGAGTTGTTTTTTGGAAGTCAGCCAAAGTGTATATAGGTTTGCAAGCAGGTGTTTCTTCTTTATTTTTTTCTCTTCTTTTTTTTTTTTAATTTAAGTAGGTTTGCAAGCAGGTGTTTCTTCTTTATTTTTTTCTCTTCTTTTTTTTTAAATTTAAGTTTTTTTTTTTTCATTTTACATACCAACCCCAGGTTCTCTTACCTTTTCCCACCTTCCTACCCCCAACCATATTCTTTTACATACCAACCCCAGGTTCTCTTACCTTTTCCCACCTTCCTACCCCCGACCCCATTCAACTCTCTCCCATCTACTCCTCAGAGGGGGTAAGGCCTCCCTTGGGGAGTCAACAAAGTCTGGCATACCAAGTTGAGGCAGGACTAAGCCCCTCCCCTCTGCATTCAGGCTGAACAAGGTATCCCACCATAGGGAATGGGCTCTGAAAAGCCAGTCCATGCAGCAGGGATAAGTCCTGGTCCCACTGCCAGGTACCCCACAAACAGATCAAGCCAAAGAACTGTCATCCACTTTCAGAGGGCCTAGTTCAGTCCCATGCAGGTTCCCCAGCTGTAAGTCCAGAGTCTGTGAGCTTCCACTAGTTCTGGTCAGCTGTCTCTGTGGTTTTCCCCATCATTCTCTTGACATCCCCTCCTCCCAGCTGCAAGCAGATGTTTCTAAAGGAAGAAGTCACAGGGTTTCTGTATTAGTACTACTTTTTAATACAAAAATATGCTTTTTATATAAGAACTTATTTAAAAAGATGGAAAAGCACAAACATTTGGCTAACTTCCAGTGTTGTTAGATTATAAAAGCTCTACCCTGGTATGGGTGAGCATGACACCTGGGAGTTCTGGTCTGCCTGAATCTGAATGCTGCTTAGTAAGAAACAGCTCTGATGGTTTTGTACTAGAGTTGAGAATTGTGTGCTAGCTACCCAGATCAAGTACTTCATATCAGTTACAGTTTTGGGGACATCTCTAAGTTGACAAGCAATCAGGGTGTAGTCCTCTTGACTCTGACCAGGTTGTATATACATATATATTATATTATATTATATTAAGTATAAATTATCTCTTTGGAAGGCATACATTCATAAGTAGGAGTTAAGTACTCTATTTTAAACTATGAGCTTCTGCTTCATGCCTCAAGTTCTATTTGTTTTTACCACTGTCTGTAAGAAAAAATGGTAGCAAATCACATTCAATTGCAAACACCAGCAGGAGAGCACACTGACAGTGGGGTGGGAAAGGCTGTAAACTCTCGAAGTCCACTCCTGGTGACATTCTCTTACCCACAAGGCCTCACTGCCTCACCATCCAGTCCCGCCACCTGGGGACCAAGTGTCTAATGTCTCAGGAGCATTTTTTGCTCACCACCATACCTTGACATATCTTTATAACCCCATTTTTACAGTATTAACTAATTCAGTTACCTTAGCAACTCAACATTCTGTTTGACATTGCTAAACTTTCACCAAGGTATATGTACTCAACGGTTGAAGGGAAGGAACATTAGAAGAGAGGAAGGGATTAGTTGATATGTGTCCATAGTGTACTTACATGATGTAAATGTGTGAACCTTGCACATATATATTTAAATTATATCATAATATTATTCGTTTTGTGGATGACTTTATCATAAAATAAGTTTTTTAAAAAACTGCATGTGTGTTAGGGGCTTGCTGACAGTTACATAGTTTATGTTTGTAGCTGTTTTAGCTACTGATCTCCTAGTTCTATGTTTGGTTTCCTTGCTTTTGTTTTTGTAGCCTGCTACAGTTTTCCTGCTGTGGCAGTTTTTACTCATAGTAGTTTGCACAACAGTTGCATGCACACCTATTGTTGTCTTTGTCTTCCGTGTACCTGTGAATGAGATGCATGCTGTTGTATGACATCTGAATATCTTCATACATATTCTTTCTACTTGAAGTTTTAAAAGGGGGGGTATTTTATTAAGCTTGCATAACTGGTACAGTATTGCAGTGTTTATATATGGTCAGAGTGCTAGTGATTGGCCATGTGTACTGAAGGAGGTTCATGCAGCATTTGTTATGACCTGTTTTTAAGAAGTGATTTTGTGTTTTTGAATAGGACTGATATATAAAAAGTATTAATGTAAAGTAATGGCGCACAGATAAATACATAATCTAATTCCCATTCTCTGAATACCATTTTTCCATGTCTCACCATTCGAACTCCTGATTTTCTTGTATTGAACACATTTCTCCTCATCCAAGCACATGCAATTAAAGGTACTTCTTAGAAGCACCTTAGAAGATTTTTCTATAATCTATTTATTTTGATTCAGCAATGCAAACCAAAGCACCCCTGTTGAGATGCTAAGCTCATGTGTATGTTTAGCCTAGGGATTAGATCTCCATCCAACTTATGCACCACTTGCATTTTTCTTTTCTTTTCTTTTCTTTTTTTTTTTTTTTTGTAGAAAATGAAGAGGACAGTAGTGATGAAGATGCACCTTTACATAGCCCAGGGTCAGAGGGAAGGTAAGAGCTGCAGAGGCCACCACACTTGACTTACTTCTGAAAGGTTTTCTTTTAAGATTTTTTTATTTTACTTTAATAGTGTGCATGTGTATATGTCTATGGAGATTTGTGCACATGAATTTAGGAGCCTGAAGAGGTCACAAGAGGGTATTGGAGCCTCTGGAGTTGGAGCTCCAGGAGGCTGAGTCGCTCATTGTGGTACTGGGAACCGAACTCAGGTCCTTATAAGAACAGTAAGTGTTCTTAACCACCGAGCCATCTCTCCAGTCCATTATATAAGATTGTTAAAACTTGACTCTAACTGGCTTAAGCAATTATCTTAAGATACAAATAATTTTGAATCTTAAGGTCGGTGATAACCCTAGGAACCATAATATGAAAGCCAAAGTCATGCCTGTCATAAATTTTAGAATATAATATTTGAGGAAGAAAAATGGATTAATTTTTAATAAATCCATCTGAATTTTAAATGTTACCTTTCTGTGTTTTCCATAGACATGATTTTTTTCATAGTTTTCATATTGTAAACATAAAGGATATGCAATTCTGTACAGTCATTTTGAATTTAATCTTATAATCAATCCTTATTTATATGCAGCACACTGTCTTCAGACCTTATGAAGCTTTGTGGTGAAGTAAAACCTAAGAACAAGGTAAGGAAAATTACAAATATCACACAAACATTTTTCCGTTGTTCTCTATTTAAAGTATAAACAGATAGGCTTCAAATTGGCTGTTAGTAGAGCGGCAGTGGGAATACTTTTGCTCAGCTTCTCTCATTTCTTTTTTCTTTTTTTTTTTTTCCCCCGAGACAGGATTTCTCTGTGACTTTGAAGGCTGTCCTGGAACTAGCTCTTGTAGACCAGGCTGGTCTCGAACTCACAGAGATCCTCCTGCCTCTGCCTCCCAAGTGCTGGGACTAAAGGCATGTGCCACCACCACCCAGTGCTCAGCTTCTCTCATTTGTAAGAAATTTATTTTATATTCTAAGTAATAATAGAATAATATTTTGAAAAACTTCTCAGTTGAAACTTAAGCTTTGCTAATTTTCCACACTATTTCTACTTGATGAAACGTAGAATTGATACAGAGTCTTAAACAATTGGTTAGTTAAGCCATAGACTCTACAATGGTGTGCTGGATCAGTCATTTAAAGTGACAGTATTTGAGTGAAACTCTAGCACTGTTTTAAAAGTGTTTATTCCTTGTTAAGTAATTAAGAGATTATTCAAAATAAAAATTTAGGGAGAGGGAGTTAGGAGTGTGTTTCTTCCTTGTTAAGAATTCTGAGATTATTCAAAATAAAAAATTAGGGAGAGGAAGTCAGGACTGATGCTGTGTCTCTGCCATAAACACAGTTAAGTGTTGGTCATTTTTCTTTTTTTGTAGGAATATTAGATCCCAAGACTATCAGATCCTCCATTTTCCCCCCATGATAAGTCTTAAGTGTGAATTTTTAGTGAATTTCTTTTAAAAAATACTTGTGGGACAGATGAAAATACATATCTAGATTCTTGTATGGTCTTGAAGTACTAGCTTTCCAGTATATAGTTTGTATTTTGTTCTGAATGATCTAACACATTACCAAAACTCAGAACACTGTGTGGTGGTTTGGATCCAGTAAAAGCAAAAAGGGTCTTATAGGATTTTCTGTAAATGGAGTTCTTAGTAGATCTAAGAACCCAGAGTCAGATATAGAGTAAAATGCAGAGCAATCAGAGAGAGGAAGGAGCAAGCCAAAGCCACCTTTAACTCATTAGCTTCCCAGTGGAAAAGAGAGTGAGTACCTGTTTCTTCCCAATTATATCCTCTCTGCCCAGCCATACCACTTCCTGTCTCTGCCCAGCTATGTCACTTCCTGTCTGCTCTTACAGACCTCCAGACTTCTATGATTAGCTAGCAGCAAGCTCCATCCTCTGATCTCCAGAAAAGTTTTATTTGTACAAGCAAGATATCACCACAGTTTCCTCTTCTAGCTTCTGTGAAAGCCTACTCCGTGAAGCCTACATGAGATGCCCAAGGGACTTGGGAAGTGATGGCCACAAAATGGTCTGAAACCATTGTGGTTATGAATTTGCAAGGGAGAAGGGCTCTCTGCCCTACCACCTTTGCAATGGGAAGAACTGAGAGGGTAAAAAAGTGTATACAGGGCTTTCTCATTTTAAAACAACCAAAGGTCTTCTACTTGTTACTTCTGAACTGTAAAGATGTGACAAAGGTCTCATTTCCTTTTCATTTTTTGAATAATGAAGTCATTTTGTGATTTTAAAAAGGGCCACAGCAATACAGTATTAAAAACATAGAATAAAAAGTTGAGTACAACAGAGTGAATTTTCCAGTGAGCAAAGTAAACTCATTATTTAAGATATCAGAAGAAAAAAACATTAAAAATAAAGACGAAAAATTTATATTAGCAAAGCATTTAAAGATGTACAACCTTAGATTTTATTCAACTTCACTACAATGGATTTTCCTTTGGCTTAAGTCTTTCCCACTTCCTGTTTTTTCTCTCTTTTTAAAAGTAGTTACATGTTGAAGGAGTTGGTCACTTGTGGCTGGACAGCACAGTGATGTTAGTAGCCTTTGACTCGCCTTTGGCTGACTTTGCCACTTTTATTTCCATTACCACGGAGACAAATCTGGCATCCCTGTGCTTTCACATCCTTACTTGTGAATAAGTTACCTCTCCACTGCGGACATCACACACATTTAGAACTGGCTCTAGCACATAAGTGCAATCCGAATGCTGGCCATTACTGTGGCCTTAGACGGTCTTATCTGGCTATAACCCTGCCATGTCACTATCACACATGTTGTCTTCGGCATACCTGCAGACTAATTAAAAAAAAAATCTGTTTCCTAATAGTTCTGTGCCAAAGTTTGCTCCTGATTGCATCTCTTTCCGTTCTCTAACTAGGCCCGAAGGAGAACCACCACTCAGATGGAGTTGCTGTATGCAGATAGCAGTGAACTAGCCTCAGACACTAGTGCAGGAGATGCCTCCTTGCCGGGCTCTCTGACACCTGTTGCAGAAGGGCAAGAGATTGGAATGAATACAGAGACAAGTGGTACTTCTGCTAGGGACAAAGAGCTTCTTCCCCCATCTGGCTTACCTTCTAAGATAGGCAGCATGTAAGTCTGACCCAGCTATACTAACTCCCTTTCTTTTGGCTTTTTGTTTTATTAATACGCATGTTTCTAATTTCTTATTGCTGTTCAAAAAAGTAGATAATCAGTCTCTGCTTTTCAAAGCAATTTCTGTTAGGTAATGCCAGCCCTAATTTTTGCTTGTGTATGTATATGTGGTGTGTATGTATGTGTGTGTGTATATGTGTGGTGTGTGTGTGTGTGTGTGTGTGTGTGTGTGTGTGTGTGTGTGTGTGTGTGAGTGATCTGTGTGTGGTGTGTGTGTGTATTCTTCTGTATGGGAGGGGGGCTCTAAAGTTGACATTAGGTGTCATGCTCAATCACTCTGAATGTACGAATTGAGACATGGTCCTTTGCTGAACCCAGAGTTCACTCTCTAGGCCAGCAAACTTGCTGGAATTCCCTTTCTCTGCCTTTACTGGGCTGGGATTATAGGAGGGCAGCCATGCATACCTTTTTTGTTTGTTTGTTTGTTTGTTTTTAATGTAGGCTCTAGGCATCCAAACTCTTCCATGTTTCTGCAGTAAATACTTTACCCTGTGAGGAAGCTCTTCAACCTAACCCTAATGATCTGGAAAATAAACATAGTTTAAGATTCAATGTTCGTTTTTGTCTTTATGTCTTAGAATCATTTTAAGGGCTAATCATTTTCCGAGTCAATATTATAGGCACAGTTTAAATACATTAGGTTAAAGTTACACAAATAAAATAATTATATAGTTACAAGAAGCTTTAAAGACTCAACTTTGCTCCAGATAATCTAGAGTCTAATTTTAATAACCTGGCAGGATAATAAATCGTAGCCGACCCCTTTAAGGAAAAAGAAACTAAAACTAATTATAAACTTTGTGCATTTCAGGTTATTCTATTTTTATTTCTTATTTTTGAGACAGGGTCTCACTATGTAGCCCTGGGTGGCATGAAATTTGCCATATAAACCAGGCTGCCCTGTGGCTCCCAAGCTGAGATTCAAGATGTGTATACCTCCCCCACCTTCCCTAACCCTTTACCTTGAAGCTTATTGTGTGTCTGGGGCAATGTCAGTACAAAGTATTTTTATTGTCAGGGAGGAGCTGAAGAAGGAAATCTCTGTTGAAAACCAGCTGTAAGAACAAAGCTCTTCTTTTTAAAACAAGTGCTGCATAGCACTTTTCATTTTGAGAACAAAGAGATTTCCCTTCACTGGGTAGTATTTGTGCATATGTTGTTGTGTATGCATGTGTAGTGTGTTTTGATAGTTACATTAAAACTAGAACTTTATTTCCCCTTTAAATACTACATTTTCTTTTAGATTTTTATTTATTATTTATGGGTATGAGTGTCTTATATGTGTGTGCTGAATGCTTGTGGAGGTCAGAAAATGGTCTGACATCCTGGAACTGGAGTTACAGATAGCTGGGAACCACCAGTGGGTGCTGGGAATTGAACTTGTGTCCTTTAAAAGAGCAGCAAGCACTTTTACCCATTGACCCATTTCTTCAGCCCCGTACTTGTAAGGATTCTCAATGATGTTTTTGCCAACTAACTCTCAAGTATAATCTAGCAAATAGTTTTTGATATGAACACATGTATATGAGAAATATTGCCCATAAAGCAGCATGCAATACACAACTCTACAGATAATACCCAAGTAATAAACTTGCTACCTGTGTCTGTTTTCCATAATATTCTTCATTTCATGAAGGCATTTCCATTATCTTCCATTTATCAGTCCCATCTACCTTTAGTTGCAAAATTGATTTTAGTGACAGCATTTTCTTGCATGTGCTTAAGGAGCTTATGTAATTAATACTGGATGCTGCTAACCAGTGTAGCCATGGCTTCAGTGCTGTGACAGGATGAAGGCAAACGAGATGCTTTTAACCAAGGTAGTGACGCAGATAAGGAATGGTTAGGGACTTGTGTGTGTGTTCAGCATTTATTCTGCCTATGAGTGGCACTTTAGGAACTTGAAGACTTAAATCTGTGGCATGGGATCCACATTCAGGTAATATATCTATTTATAAATGTATCCTTTATGACATGTTATAGAAAATGCCATTTAGACTTTGCCTTTTCATACAATTTGCCTCTAAGTTTTCATGAAGTTAGAGGACTGGACTTGTAATTCCTTACACTTTCTTTTCTTGTCTGAGGCAGTATCATGGAGCCTAGGTTGGCACCAAACCCATTATGTACTCAAGGCTAATGCTTCCACCTCCTGAGTGCTAAGATTTCATACCTGTATCACCTTATCAGGCCCAGGTTCTTACAAATTTAAAGTTTGTGCTTGGTTCTGGAGTACCTGTAGCTACTACTGCACTACTTTCATTCCCTTATCATGTATACAGTACAGAATTGCTAAAATATGATTTCTTCACACACATGAAATTCAGTGAAATTCTGAATATCAGCTATGCAAACCCATTCTATGTTTTTTAAGCAGTGCAACTTTCTGAGAATAGTAATATTCATCATTGCATCCACAAAACTCATGGTCTTAAAAGTTTTAATTATTTATCAACTACTCCATTTTTTTTTAATTTAAAAATATTTCTGACATAGGGTCTCATTCCCTGGATCTCTAGCTGGCTTGAAAATTCACTGTGTAGCCCACAATCCAGAAATATAATTCCCTGTGTCTATTGAACTGAGTATCTAGAAAATAATTAAGAAATAGGGAACTGGAGAAAATAATTCAAAATTGTACTCAAGCTTGTTGAGTCTGCTGCTTTACCTATAAAGTGAGCAGTCTGGTTTAAACTCTAAGTTATATAATTTTAAATTTGCCTTGCCTTGTGGATTTGGACTTCAGATTTTACTAAAACATTCTGTTCCCTCCATTTCTTAAGTGCTGGGATTAATGACTTGAGCTACCACACCTAGCTTTTACTAATTAAAGTTAATGACAAGTATATTTTATTACTAAAACACATAAAATGACTGATGTCTAGATCCAGTTCAGTAAAAATCATTGTCATTATTGGTTTGTGTTACTACTTACACTGCAATTTTATAGCCACATTTTAATGTTTGTTTATTAAATTGCATTACTTCCCAGATTCTAGTAGTTTTCTTCTTGAAAAACTTTTAAGGATAATTTTCCCTCAGATCAAACAATTTCCAATAAAAATTTGGATACTTACAATATTTATTTTGTTTGGCAGTTTTATTTATGTTTACATTAAAATATAAGAGACTTGTACATAATAAAATTTTAACTTAATTTCTGATTATCAGGCTCCTATCAACTAAAAAATAAGTCATGTATTATTTTCCTATCTTAGTTTTATTTTTTTTCTCAAAAATAAATTTGGAACCTTTAGATTAGATTGGTTGTCAAAGTTTTTAAATTAAAAAAATATTAAAAATAATAAAAATAAAATCATAACTAATAAAAATAATCAAAGCCTTTTCCTATTTTAGTTCCAGACAGTCATCTCTATCAGAAAAAAACCTGCCAGAGCCTTCCCCTGTAACAAGGAGAAAGGCTTATGAGAAAGCAGACAAAGCAAAGGTCAAGGAGCACAAACAGTAAGTTCTGAACACATTTTATCTACGCAGCGGCTCAAGAGGGCCCCTGCCGTAGATGCTGAGGGGCAGCTGCAAATTGCCGGCTATTTGCTTATGACTGGTTTCTCAGACAATTAAGTGAACTATTGTCTTGGCTAAGTGGTGTTCTGGCTTTATGACCATACACACACTTTTAATGCACTTGAGTACTTGTCTCCCCGTTCATGTCACTAACACTTTTTTTCAGTTATTTTCATATATCCTTGAAAAGAGTTACTATGCATTTGGACTAAAAGTTACCAAGCTTGTATTTCAAATGATCTATAAAAAATTCAGAATTAACTTTGCTTATCCTCTGACATTGATTGGACCTTCCCCCACTTGAGTGGCCACAATCTCTGTATTTATCACAAGGTGTGGCACGTGGGTCATTTTTTTCTTGCTTCTCACATTGGATTGTTGATGTCCTCCATCATTTCTTTAATGTTTTAGGAGGGCACAGTATAGTCTGCTGACCTTACACGGGTGCTTGTAAGCTGTACCATCACAACATGCAGAAATAAGTAAAGTGTTGTGTAAAAGCACCCCAACTTCCGCCACCACATGCTGACCTTACACGGGTGCTTGTAAGCTGTACCATCACAACATGCAGAAGCTAAATGAATTAAATAAGTAAAGTGTTGTGTAAAAGCACCCCAACTTCCGCCACCACTGTACTTTCTCATTTACACAGAATGCTATATAGGGCAGGAGGGTCCATGG